TGATGATAGCCAGGCGCCAGGACTGCCAAAATGAAATAAATAAATATATCATTAAATAATTAATTAAATGTGTCAATAATTAATGAAATGTGTCAACAATTAATTAAAATGTGAAATACATAAATAATTAATTAAATGTGTCAATAATTAATTAATTAAATGTGTCAATAATTAATTAAAATGTGAAATACATAAATAATTAATTAAATGTGTCAATAATTAATTAATTACATGTGTCATAACTATTTATTTAATTAATTAATTCCAATTTTAATTAATTATTGCCACATTTAATTAATTATTTAATGGTGTATTTAATTAATTCCTTATGGCAGTCCTGGCGTTCCATAAAGATATACCTTTTATAGTTCAAATCAAATCAAATCACTTTTATTGTCACATCACATGTGCAGGTACATTGGTACAGCACATGTGAGTGAAATTCTTGTGTGCGAGCTTCACAAGCAACAGAGTTGTGCAAAATACAATAATATAAACAAGTTGCCTGGTATCAATGGTTGTTCATCTGCCCTAATTTATTTATTTATTTATTTAAAGAACCCATAGGTGGGAATGTGAGTTGTCTGTCTCTGAGTGTTAGCCCTGCGACAGACAGGCGACCTGTCCAGGGTGCAGGGTATGGTAGCTGGAATAGCAACATACCCAAGGATAAGCAGAAGAGCATGACTGATATGATGAAACTGGGATTTTGTTTCACTTAATTATTGCAAACACAGCTAAAACTATAACTGAAACTAATCAAAACTAAACTGAAACTAAGGATTAAAAAAAAAACGAATCTAGCGAACAATTGGTAAAAACTAATTAAAACTGATATAAAATTGAAAATCTGAAGTCAAAACTAAATAAAATTAAAAACTAATGAAAATTGCAAAACTATTAAAACCCTGGTTGGCACCCATAAATGCCCATGCTACAACGCTGTCAATCAATCAATCAATCAATCAATCAATCAATCAATCAATCAATCAATCAATCAATCAATCAATCAATCAATCAATCAATCAATCAATCAAGGCTTTATTCGCCACGTGCAGGGTTCAGCTGAGACAGTGTCCTTCGCCCTGTTAGGCTAAGTAAACAGTCTTCCAGCCAGCCCAGGTGGCCTTGCGTGGACTGGGAAGGAACAGTCTAAACACAGTCATTATCAGGGTGTTTTTGTTTGGCTCCAGCCTTGAGACTGCAGCTGGCGCCGAAAGGGTATCCGCATGAAGTGATGGTGTTTTTTACTTTAGTGCGAACAACTCATATGAATTTCAAAGCTGTTCTAACAGTCCAACACTGGTCTCTCAATCTCCCGTTGGAGAGCCATGAGCTTCTCTATGATGTTATCAAACTTGCTCTCCTTGATGTTGTCATTCTTGTGCTCAAAGAGCCCATTCTGAGAACTCACGACCACAGTGAGCTTCTTCAAGATGTAATCCAGTTTGCACTCAGAGATCTTATTGTGAGTATTCACGGCAGCCGTAAGCTTCTCCAAGATCTTATCCATGCTGCACTCAATGAGCCCATTTTGAGAAACTCACACCTCTTCCCATCGTTTCAATCCCAGCCTGCAGCCTTGTGGGGGTTTGAACAACCGGTTCCGCTTTCTTAATTCTTCGATAAGTCAGGGCCAAACCAGCTCCGATCAGCAAGAACCCTGTTATCATGGTTCCGAATAGGTAGATATCTTCAGCACTCAGGCGCACCCAAGCCCAAACTTCTCATTGAGAAAGGGGTGTCAATTGCATTTAGGGACCAGTTGATCAAATCCATGATTCCACTTTTAGGTTTTAGAGAACAGACTGTGAGAGTGTTCCAGGGAAAAGTAATACAAAAAACACGAGACTAGACAAGGACATAAGAGGCTAAGCAGGGAAGCTAAGGGAGAGGAGGAGAGGAGAAAAGTGCGACCGCCTTCGTCAAGAGCAAGAGCAGAAAATGTTTGGCAGATGCTTTGGATCAAGAACCGTTCCATTCCTTCTCTGAAGGCCATCTTGTAGTCTAATGCCCTGCTTTCTGATCACCAGCCTCTTCCTTGGCCACTGCATGGAGTATGCCTCAACAGCTGGTTCCTGGTTTTTCCTGCCTTGTTGTTGCTGGCCACCATGATAAACTGTCCCACTCCACCCACTGGCTTTTAGACCACCTGTGAAGCCTCTGCAACTAGCCATTGCCAAACCTCTGGAGGGGTCCAGTCTCCTTGACCGTCACTAGCCCCCTATCAAGCCACAGGAGGGGTTCCATCTTCTCTTCTGGTCTCTTGTCTCGAGGCCATCCACAAGGACTGTGTCTATTATTGCAAGCCTCTAGTGTGGCTTCCCCACCTTAGCTGGTCTCCTTCTCAACCTCCAGAGAGGTTCTCCTTTGCTACTCCTCCTTAAGGCCAGTCCCCAGAACTGTCTCTCACATTATTCCTCCTCCAGACCGTCCATTTGGGACTGCATTCAGACTCAATCTCCCTTTGTGTTTTTTATTTGTGGCTGTGTAACTGGATGTAGAGCAACATTTTGGAAAAAAGAAGAAAAAATAGAACTCAAATCTATTTGTTGTGGTTGAGAATGGGTTCACTGGCATGCATTAAAAAATCCCTCAGGAGATTCTGATACACTTTTTATTACATTTTTTAAATCAAGAAGAAGATAGATGAGCAAGTATGGTTATTGAAGTTATAATTAGAAAACTAATTTCTTTCTATCCTTCTAGAGAAGTGGTTCTTAACCTTGTTGGAGGTATCAAACCCCACCAGTTTTGTATGTGCATTCACCAAACCCCTCTTTAGTGAAAAATAAAATCTGATTTTTTTTTTCAAATTCAAGACATAGATGTGTTTTTTTACTGGTGCACACAATGATCCGTGCATGAACATCACCTTGTTCAAAGAACAATACCAACACAATGAACAAACTTACAACAAATTACATACCTGCAAATCAGTGTGACTTCTGCTGTTGCCTTTGAGAGACCAGTTCAGATATGCGTGGCTTTACCTTGGCAAGTGCCAGTCTCATGTCATTTTCACAGCAAAGTCTGTTCCTTTTCTTTGTTTTTATGTCCAGCATCCTCGAAAAGGATTGCTCGCAAAGATATGTTGTAACAAATGGCATAAAAAAATCCAGGGCTTACTTAGCAATAACTGGATACTTGTCCATTTGTCGACACTAAAACTTTGAGAGCGTTGTTGTTCTGAAGAGTTGCTGTTGAACCTGGCTCTGCTGAAATTTAATGATTTCGTCAAGGTATTTATCATTGACATCTGCTGTCTAATCAGCAAAAGTGAATGGCTGTCTCACCCATGCTGGATATGACTCTCTCGTAGGAAAATATCTGTCGAGAGACATTGCAAGCTCATCTAAGTGCGTTGCAATAGTTTGCTTCAGTTCCGTGAATACAGAAATATCTCCGATTCCAGACACATCTTCGATCTTACTTACACAGTTGTCCAGAAGGGGGAAGTTTGCGAAGTTGTTGTTCTCTGTTCGTCGTTTCCATAACGGTAGCTTTTTTTGAAAAGCTAATCCGGCTTAGATTAGCAACATCTGTGCTCTCATCGAGTTGATGGCTGAATTTGCTGGGCTTGAAATCAGATCTGCGAATACTTGAGCCAAGATGTCTTTACTCATGTCTTCTATTCTGTTGCTGATGGTGTCATTTGAAAGAGGAATTTGGAATCATTTACCTTCGGCCGCTGTTCAGAGTATCAGATTCGACATCTTTAATGCAGCTGGTTTCACGAGTGTTTCACCAATGGTGTGTGGCTTGCCCTGCTTTGCGATCAAGTAAGCAACTTCGTACGATGCTGTGAGGATCGGTTTGTTAACAGATACAAAATTCAAGAGCAGGCAGAGTGGGCCTTTCATCGAATCTGTCTCTCTTCATCCTTGAATTCAGCAAGTGTTGTGTTCTTGTATTCAATGTCTCCTTGCAGCTTCAAGAAGTGTTCCTTTAGTTTTGCTGGTGCAAGACTAGAGTTGTTCAACTTGGCGTTGCAAATCATGCAGAGAGGACGCTCACTCCCATCACGTTCCGTGATACATGTGAATCCATATTGTACATATTCGTCCAACCACTTTCTTCTTTTTCCCGACATAGTTAGTATGGATTAAAATATTAACAAAAAAATCACACGAACTACTACCACGACAGTCACACGTTGACTACTGCGCGCTAAATTCCGCCAAGCAGTGTAGCATGATCATCTGCAGCCAGTGATGGCCAAAAGGGGCCGTGTCATCACAAATTTACACGATAATTCGGGTGTGTCCGGACCCCGCGGTGGAGGCTCTGCCGAAGCCCTGAGACCGACTCACCGAACCCCTATGGTTCGATCGAACCCAGGTTAAGAACCACTGTTCTAGAGTTAAGGGAGTTTGATAAACAGGAATAGCCAGGCTGTTTTTCAGGCCTGTGGCAGCACCAAAACAACTGCTCCAAAATAGATGACAATTAAATCATTGGAGTCTAAAACGCCCTGAGTAACCTTTTCAGACCTCCAAAAAATAGTTAGAGTCCTTTCACACTACCATTGATCAATGGCAATGTCACTTTACTTCTTAATGATCATGAAAGTGACCTGACAGCCCCCAACACATGTGATAGTCAGTGGTACAAGTTTCGGTCACTATGCACAATTATTGTTTGGATGAGTGACAGAGCGATTCTCCCACTAAAAACGTCACAAGAAGATGATCAGAATCAGCTTCACGAGGGTTCTTATAAGACTTTTGTTTTTAGGTTAAGGTTAGGGTCTAGTAGACTTGAGGTACTCCCATGGCTTGGTTTTCTTGAAAACAACCTTAAAAAATTCATACCCTGCCTCCTTTACTGTCATCCATTACTATGTAGAAAATAAAAGTTTTCATATAAAAAAGATCCAAAGGTTGGGGAAAAAATAGCACATTTTATACACATTAACAAATTTTATGGTCTAGTGTGTTTAAGAAATCTGTATTTAAATTGGGATTGTGCTTCATTGCTTATGGCTCTATATTTCAAAGGTTTGTGAAAGAAATTCTCACCTCCTACTACAAGACTGATGCTGAAGTCCAGAAAGACTCTGAACTGCAGAAGTGGATTCAGGACATTTATGAACATGGATTCCTTTCACAAGCAAGCACAGGTGAGCTTTATTTTGGACTTACTCTGCTCATTTAAAGCTCTGTGATTTTAGATTTTAACTCTACTAGAATTTAAATGCCTGATTTGCAGTTCAAATATATAGATCCAAGTCGTTTGGTCCATGATCTATTCGAGTTCACAGGTTATTGTAATACCTACCAAAAAAATAACATCAAAGTACAGAAGCAAAGTTTTAGCTTTTTTTCTGTCATTCACTGGCTATAATGCACAAACTAATGAGAAATAAAATCCTGTAAATCAATTTAGGACAACTGGTTCTCATTCACCAACTATTATTGACCACTAAGATATACTTTGTCAATGGTGTGGCCCAAGTTTTTGACCAGCTCTAAACTATCTTACTTTTTTATACCATAACTAAACTTAATGATGGCATTTATGTTTCAGTGGTAAAGGGGTGCAAGAATGCATTCATTTTCTGAACATCACAGTCCAAACTAGAACTTTTATCAGTACAGATTTTAGTGAATGTGAAAAACTGCCTGTAAAAATGACAAGAAGATGACCTTGACATTGAGCAGAATTTGGGTGAAAACCCAACGTGATTTACGGTCCCACAAATGTGTCCGTCTGCGTACATGTTTCAGTTTAGAAACCACTGCAAATAAGCTCCCATGCAGTCAACCAAAATCCCATAAGCAGTTTGCTGAGCATGAATGGCCATGGTCAAATTCTGATTGGTTCACAAGGGGCTGGGAAACAGAAGGGGGAGACAGCAGAAATGTAGAAGAAAAATCAAAGACTAAAAATATAGAATGAACAATACAGACACTGGCTGTGGTGGAAACATTTTTTTTAACATTTTGATCCACTTCAGCATTTTGTATGTCATAACTTCACTTGTCTCTTCCACTGGCTAAAAGATCAACAACAGCAAAATCAGGAGTACCCTACTTCCTTGAAAACAACAGGTAGATGCAGGTAGATGGGCAGTCTGTTACTGCCTGTGGATTACCTTTGTGCTACTCCCACTTTAGCATTAAAAAAGTGTAAGTAGTGTTTAGTTTAGTAGTGATCCCTACTATTGGACACTTTACCCCATCCTAAAAAATGTGTGAATCTGAGCATTTAGAGCAGTTTAAAGTTTTGGCATATTTGGACTACCTATATATTATATACACTGACCAAAGCATGATGTGAGACTTTATTATGATAATAGAACTTTATGTGCACCTACAATATTGTAATTTTGATACAACTTTACTTTGGTTTCCCCAGTGTATTGAAGTAATGCCATTTCTTTTTGTTCTGATCATCAGGAATTCCACAGAAATTCAGCACTGTGGATGAGATGGTCAAGTTCGTCACCATGGTGATCTTCACTTGCTCTGCCCAGCACTCAGCTGTCAACTCTGGGCAGGTGAAACCTTCTAACATCATTTAATTTCATTTATTTAGGTTGTAATAGTTTAAGGCCATGCAAGAACCTTCAAGACCTTAAAGTGGTAAGATTAATCACCTTACAATATATCAGAAATAAACTACAATCACTTTACAAATTTCAATTGCTAAGCCCCAAAAGGTTGATTCTGTTCATCTGGACGTAAAGTTTTCAGTGGAGAAACGTCACTACTCCAAGTGACTTCAGTCTCCGCTACCTGAACACATCCTGGACAGGGAGGAACACAGGGAGTCAAGGAGGCCATTTACACAAGAAGGGAAAAAACATCTCTGAATCGAGAAGGAGGCCTAAGGGTACATCTTTCACCGCCTTACAATGCTGTGATTGAAGCCATTCCCCAACTCTCATTAAATAGTGCTCATGGCCATTGATCAATGGTCTTAGATCAGTGGGCTTTGAAAAGTTGCCTTTGATCAAAGGTCATGACAGTTTGCATATTCATGATAAACGAACTGACCTCACATCCCTTTCAGTTGCACTAGTGTCAGTAATTGCGTAAAGGTTGGGGAAACCTGCAGTCAGCTGAGACTGAAGAAGTCACTTGGATGAGTGACGAAATGTTTCTTCCACTGAAAATGCTACATCTAGATGAACAGAATCAACCTCAATTTACTTACCTGGATGATATAGCATTATTCAAGACATTAAAGGCAAAGGAGCATTGTTTAGTTAGCAAAATAAATTATTGCCAACTCCATGAATACTTTTCTCTCAATTTGGGAAAACACTTCAGTTAACAAGTGTTCCTTTGTTAGTGGCAGGATAATTTATAAAAGGTAAGTATACTTAAGTCCTAAGAGAATATTAATTTTAGAGTCTGGCTTGACTGATGATCTCAGGTCCATCTTGCTTTTCACATTAAATTTTTAGTGATGGCTGAAGCTCAGGTGGTAGAGCAGGCTCCGTACTAGTTGGAATTTTGGTGGTTCAAACCCTGTCGAGTTCGAGTTTGTATGCCAAATATCCTTGGGCAAGATGCTAACCCTAAGTAACTCTATGATGCATCCAGTGGAGTGTGAATGTTAGAAAGCACTTATGGAGACATAGGAAAATGTGCTTTGAGTCTCCAGGAGAGTAGCAAGTGCTACATAAGAACCAGTGCCCACTCACATCCTGGGCCATTTGACCTAAGGCTATGTCCACACGAATGCGTTTTCAAACGAACATGCATCGTTTTCCAGACTGAGCCGGCATTTTCCTCAAGGAAAAACACAGTGTTTTGGAAACGCTCTCGAAAATGGATACATTTCAAACTGGAGGTGTCCTGTCGCAGTGTGGGCGCTGGAAAACGCAGACTTTCTAAAACGATGACGCATTTTAGTCATGTGATGCAGTCATGTGACCAATTGAACAAAGGGCATTATACAGCAGTTGTTTTGATTGCTCTCAATTTTAACAGCCCTATTAAAGATTAATATCAGTATTTACATGCTCCAGATAGCTTTTCTTCAAATTGTTTAATTCTCACTCGCTTTTGTGCTTGAATATAGGCGTTTTTGGCCATTTCAATGTGGATGCACAACTCTTTGAAAACTACTGAAAACGGTAGTGTGGACACAGAGCGTTTGCTATATGTGGAAGGAAATCGTAACCTAGGACAAGCTGATGGCATAAAATGTAAGCACAACTCCTCCGGTTTCATATGCAAAAAAAAAATTTTGCGGTAGCTTACGTGTTTCCAGTTCTACAGGGATTTAAAAATAGTTAAGCAAAATGGAGCGTGCCCACTCTGACCAATTTAAGATGGTTAAAGTGTCTGGGAAGGAATCTTAAAATTGGATTATAGATGGCAGACAGTTGGTGTCATAAACCACCACCTCTGTTCAAGGATGATCATCCACAGTGGACAAAGATGAATTCTTTCATTACTCATCTGTCTTCTCTGTCCAAAATGCGAACATTGGCATCCTCAAAAGAGTGACCTTTGTTGTTCAGATGCAGAGGAACATCTTGAACGTCTTGCCTGTCGACGTGACTCTTCTATGTTGTCCCATGTGTTTATGAAGTGGCTGTAGAGATCAAAAGAGTTAGGGTTGATGGTATTCACATTTTGGACAGAGAAGACAGAGATGGTTTGAAAGAGGAGTGAAAGAAGCCATCAATGTCCACTGAATGACCAATAAACAGGGTGGTGTTGGCTACCTACAATGCAATCTTGAGATCCCTTTCTAGTCCAGTCACCTTCATTCAAGCTCTTAAAGATCTCTTCATCAAATATTTCTAGTTTTTGGGTCAGCAATTTAAGGATGCACTCTTTTCCTTCATGTTTGTCCTTAATCAAGTTAGAGCCTAATGTGTATTACACCCCTTGACTCTCCAGGCTTGACCAAACACCAATATCACACTGCTATGTGCTTCAGAGCCTATTAATGACCTTTCCTTTACTCCTTCAATGCAGTACGACTTTGGGGCCTGGATGCCCAATAGTCCTGTCACCTTGCAGCTTCCCCCACCAACTAAAAAGGGGAAAGCAAGTGAAAAAGCATGATAGATACTGTGGAGAAGGGAAATTATTTTACTGCTATTGTTAAATAATTGTCATTATTACCATTGCATTAATAATATAATCTGGAGTTTATATTGCATTCAGGGGTTGAACAGTGTGTGTCTTTCAGAAAGACTAAGTTGCAGGCTGACAGGAAGTTGCAGGTTTGCAGAGTGTGCCTTTTGCAGAACTGAAACCGAAAGCAGAAGCAGGAAGTTATTTGAGCAGCAGTATGATCATTGCTTTAACAATGTAACAGATAGCTTTAAGAAGGCCTTAAGATGCTTATGCACACAGTTATTATGTTTAGTAGAGGTTCTTGATTAAAACATTTATTTAGTAAAAGTCATATCCATAGTTTCAGTTCGATTATTACACATACGAGAGTGGTTTCTGTCTCTCTGTCTGGTGAGAGGTCAGGAGCTAGTCGTGAGGTGAAACAGGGTGCAATTGTGGTTAGCACACAGACGCAGACACACACACACTTTTAGTTAGATTCATTTATGGGGAAAGTTTAATTATGTTTTGCTGATGTTGCAAAGAGCAGTTTGTCGCAGAACTGCTGCTGAGGTGTTAAGATGACAAGCGAGCATCCGGCAGTGACAGGATGCACCTGTTATGAAGATGGAAGACGATGTTCTTTTAAACTGTGTTAAAAGGTCATTGTGGTTTTGATTTGACGTATGTATATATCCTGTCTGTGACGTATGAAGGGCGTCAGTAATTCAAACCCTGATGCTATAAAAATCTGTGTATGCTCTGATTAAGTCGAGGACTACTGGCTGTCTGCGTACAGAGTGTCTTCCCACGCGTGTATTCATTAAAATCATTGTTTGACCAAGACCTTCTGGACCAAGACTGGTTTGTACTCTCCTTCCCCAATATTCAAACAACAGTTCATGGCATGGCCGTCATGTGGCTACTCAGCAAGCAGTCCTCTGACTCTGTAAGTGTTCAAGTTATGTAATGTACATCAAAATGTCAAATTCAAAAGTCATACAACTATGCATTTTGAGTGGAAGAAGCAAAACATGCCAGTGATCTCATATCTATCTCATCAGATCTTTCTTGGCCAGTACCCAGAGGAGCATTTCACTGAGGAGGTTCCCTGCCAAAAAATAAAGGATTTCCAAGTAGAGCTCAAAAGGCTGAGTGCAGAGATCAAAGCCAGAAACTCAGTGTTGGACCTGCCATACACATACTTGGATCCTGACGTGACTGAAAACAGTGTGTCCATTTGAATATTAGAAGGCAGCTTCTCTTCCTTTAGTTCAGTAACAAAAACAGAAAAGAAAGTGAAGTTTGAGCTCTGCCTGAAACTCATTCTATTGATTTAACTTTAGTTTACCAGCAATTTCTAAAATATTCTTCTGAGTTAATACAATGACCAGGTTTTATGTTTCAGGTTTTATGTTTCATAATTAGAAAATATATCAGTGGAAAGAGTGTTTCTGATTTATAATGATTTCTACTTTTTTAATCATAATTTTAAAGCTGTTTCTCTCTTTGATAATGAAAAGGTAAATACGTAGATAGAAAGCTGCTAGGGTGAGAAGGGCTTTAAGAAATAAGGTCTCCTTTGCACTTCTCTGGTTTTTAATTCTCAATTTTGTTTCAATACAAGCTTTATATAATCAATATTTTTGTCTTATTGCAGTGTATTGCATGAATCCATAAAAAGTGTACCTACTTTGAAATAGGAAAATTAATAGCTATCTATATCATTTTTAGAGATCATAGAGATTTAACACAGATATAGACAGACATGAATGCATAACTTTATGATGTTTCATTTAAAATTCTTAGAAATTTCTGCCTGTGAATACATGATTTAAAGGGTGAAGAAGGAGCTTACTATGTTATTTTTCTGTGTGAACTATACTTAGGTCCTGTTTATATCAACTGATTTTTAAGCTTGCCTGACATAAATGATGATAATTTGATCTCTTTCTGAACTGTTTTCTGTATGTAAAAGATGGAATATAAACACTGACCCAGTCAAAATCCTCGTTTTATTGCAGATTGCTTTTGTCATATTTAGATGAAGGCGTGGAGTCCTAAGATATTAGTAAATACTAGCAGTAAGGACGAAATTAATAAGAATTTAGCGATTCTGATTCCATTATTGATATCATTTATCGACTGGATTCCTTATTGATTCTCACTGACTCCACTTTGAGAGTCACCACCACCACTAAGCAGAATATCAAAGACATTACTTACATTCATGCAAATTAATTCTGTGTGGTCAAATATTTGTGCATGTTGGAGGTATGTCCCTCTTTGTTGCGATCAGTGTTGGGACATTACTCAGTAAAGTAAAGTAAAAAGGTTCCTACACAAAACATTTTTCTTAAAAGTAATGCACTTAATTACACCCAGGAGAAAGACATTCATTATACTACCTGTTACATTACTTTCATATTGCTTAAAAAAAACAAAAAACCTGAACCACACTCATAATTACTATTTGACAGTATATACCTGAGGCTCCAGCCCCACACAACAACACAAATCCCTATAATAATGAGGACACACATGATTTTTCTCTTAGTACTTAGGTATGAAAACAAAGCCGACAACACTGTATTCAACACTGTATTAACTGTATTCTAGATATAAAATGGCAGAAAACTTTTTGCAGCTTAACCAGGGCAAAAACTGAAATTTTAATCATCGGTCCTGAGGCTCAGAAAGAGAAACTCTTGTCTAAATTACAGGCATTTTCACTATGTCCTTCACTACAAGTGAAAATGCCTGGGTGTTATTTTCGACTCTGAGCTTGGTTTTATCCCACATATTAAACATGTAACCAAATTTGGATTTTATCATCTAAAAAATATAGCCAGAGTCCACCCTATTCTCTCTCGGGCCAACACGGAGATGCTGATGCATGCTTTTATTACCAGTCGCATTGATTACTGTAATGCCCTGCTCTCTGGTCTTCCCAAAAAGAATATTTCACCTTTACAACTTTTACAAAACAAAATAATTCTGGGTTCTTGGCTAACTTAGCATTAGCAAGTGGAGGCGAGAAGCCAAAGTTGTGTTAACAGTATACTGCAGTTGTTTCTGTCCTGGAGCAGTCTCCACTTCATACTCTCATCCTTTTGTGCAATAAAAATAAAAGTATTGTCCATATCCACAAGCTAAAATATCCAAAGGCCACACAGGTTTGTTTGTTTGTTTGTTTGTTTGTTTGTTTGTTTGTTTGTTTGTTTGTTTGCTTGCTTGTTTGTTTGTTTGTTTGCTTGTTTGTTTGTTTGTTTGTTTGCTTGTTTGTTTGTTTGTTTGTTTGTTTGTTTAAACATGTCCTGCCAGTTGTAACAGGCAAAATTATGGTCTGAATGTTTTGTTGTGCCAGACATATTTGGTTTCCCTAGAGGAGCACCGTATACTTTCTGTAGACAAATATACAATTTTGCTGTGTGTGTGTGTGTGTGTGTGAGAGAGAGAGAGAGAGAGAGAGAGAGAGTTACAGAGTTACAGACAGAGAGAGAGAGAGTTACAGACAGAGAGAGAGAGAGGATGTGTGTGAGTGTTAGTAGCAGAATGTACTAAAGGAGACGCCGGCCGCCCACAGCAACCAAGAGAGCTGAATAGCCACTACAATATTCTCCTGAACGATAGGTGTTGCCACTCAGAGAGTACCACCACATAAGCGCTGATATAGCAGGAGAAGAATCTTTTTTTCCTCTTTTCATCTCCCTTTGTATATTTTAATATTTCTCAGCTTCTGGAATGTCATTAAAATGGCTATAAAAACTGACATGATCACACCATAGGATGTGACATCATCTTCGCCATGCTGTGCTGTCCAACAGGGGCTCAGAGGTGAGAAATAAAACCCTACAAGGCTGCCACCTGAACTGTGTAGCATCAGTTTCACCCGCGATAGCTCTGGCAAAACAATCACTCTATAATAGAAAATGGCAACCAGAACCCAGGCCCCAGGAAATCTCTGGGAGAAAAGTCCCACCCCTAGCTGCTCTTTTCCAGAGAGGACAATGCAGGCAAGACAGCAGATCTGAGAACAGACCGCTGCAGGTTGTAAACTCTTAATTTTAAGTGTGGCCAGAATGCCAAAAGGCATCAACACCAGCTGCCACTGGAGACAGAGTGCTAAAAATAAAATAGTCCTATTATTCTGCATTTAATGATTGCAACTGTAGGAATGATGTTTCCTACACAGCAGCTGGAATTAAGAGGCGGTTACACTATAAACCAAAGTGTGGGTAACCTACAATAAGGTGCAGACATGCAGCTTACCTGTAGCTGTTGTGAAACACAATCAAACCACCTGAGTTTACCACCACAAACTACTGACAGCTAACATCATCCTCCGGAGAAGGAGAGAGAAGAATCAAAGCAGAGAGCACAACCCACCCAACCACACTTATAATTCAGTGTAATTCATTTCAATGAAACCTCAGCAGAGGGTTGCTGAGCTAATGAACAATCTTTAGGGTGGATTCACTTGATTTGTGTGTGTTGCAGAATGTGGCATGGTGGAAAATTGAGAAAATCCCCCACTAAGCATTGGGTTGGTATTATTTTTCATTTTAATAATCGCATGCTGTGTTTTTGTGTGAGCTGTGAGGTGTGGGCCACAACCATGTGGAGTGGAGATTCTACTCTAGTCCAGCTGCCAGCTCTTTGGAGTGCACTGTTACAGCATGGAAGCCAGTTGACATGAGACATGAGAAAAGTGCACATTTCAAAGGAAATTATTTTTAACCTAACCTGGAAGTTTTTGCTTTTAAAATAATCAAATGACACTGGAGGGAGGACTCGTTTTAATCAGGATTCCTGTGGATTTGCTGTGATAAAATTACTGGAGTGGAGATGCTCGGTGTGCTGAGTTCATGGAGGAATAGCCTACTCTGGAATTAAAAAGGAACCAATGAGAGGAAGTTGGTAAAGACTTCAGCTCTCAAACTTCTGAAGTTTGAGAGCTGAAGTCCCAGGATCTGGTGTGGAAACCTACTCCTTAATAACAGAAGCCCTGATAAGGTGGATGGAAAGCCTTTCTCAGAAAAATGCAAGATTGATATGTGTTTGGCTGCTCTTTCCCTTGACGTACCACTTTTTCC